GGGGGGGGTTCATATATATTGTGCGAGATTTTTATTATGTTTGATCAGTAAACACCAGTACCGATCTAGGGGTTGGGATCAATTTTCAGTTAGTTGAGCACCTCCAGAAGTTGACACTGCTCGTCACTCCATTGTGCTAGAAAAAGTGGGAAGAAAAACAACATTTGAAGCATTAGGTACCGGTACTGTTCTTGATTGGTTTTATTGTAGCAATACAGATTTGGTGGTTACAGTTGACAGTGACAGTCCCAAACATCCCTGTGATGTCCGACGTTGTGTGTAGTAGGGCAGCGTGTCATCTGTCCAGTAGTCCACAGCCGTGATATGTTATAACAGATGCGAGAGTCCTCAAAATGTTCTGTCTCACGGTGAAAATTTTTATTTTAAAAAATATCCCTTGCCCATTTATTTGAGATTGACGCCCTCTGATTAATAGAAAAAAGTGCGTATGGTAGTGTCCAATAGTGTATTACGTGTATTCTTAGTATGACAAGTAACTGTAATAGCAGATAAAGATTCCAGGATTATAGATGTAAGTCAGTTATCTGAGAGCAACGATGATTTTAGCAATAATGGTGGTAAAAGTGATAATGTGGGATTGCGTTTAAGTAATGTTAGTAGAGTTAGTCCTATCATCCTCTGCTCCAATGAGCAAGGTTCGTATGTGTATCGGTAAACTGGAAAACTCTTGGAATTTTGTTTTTATTTTCCAAGAAATGGAAAACTGGGAATTTTGGGAAATTTTCAAAACTCTTGAAAAAGTCTTGAAAAAACGAATTTTGAACTACATGTAGATCTACTATTGTAAAACTATTTCCTCGAAGTTTAGAAGACCTAGATTTTACGCATTCTGAAGTGCACCATTATGTTTTTTTACATGCTGAGCGAAACATTTTCTTTAGAAGTGATTTGCTGTTTGTTTGGAAAAAAGAAATCTGGTCTTGAAAACTCTTGGAAAAGTCTTGGGGAACAATCTCGTGCTCAGTATGTATGAACCCTGGATGAGTCTCGAGGGACGTGCAGGGTCAAGTTAAAGCTTGTGGGTGCAAGGTGG